TGTGTGTTTTGCCCATATTTATGAATTGAATTGCTTAACGTTTTGGCTAAATCCAATCGTCGACTTTTTATAGCCTGTACCCAAAGGGTGAAAGGCTATACTAGTTTTGTGCGTATGTATGTAACACACAGAAGGAGGCATGGCAGACCCCACAAAGTATATATATTCTTGATCAGGATGAGAAGACGAGTCGATATAGCCATGTCCGTCTGTCTGTATGAGCGCAAGGATCTCAGTAAGTACAAGAGCTAGGATAACCAAAATTGGTATCAAGGTTCCTATAAGCCCTAGGCAGGTCGAGTTTGTTTATTTTTTCTGATACACCCCCCCACTCCCCCGCAATTCGTATTTTTTCTTATAACTTCCGTAATTCTCGGAATTTTAAAATAAATTTATGTAGTTACATCCAGTTAGTACTAATGTGTCCGTGTGCCATCATCATGATAGGTCAATTCTGAAGAAAGTTATAGCCATAAGTAAAATCGCTGCTCATGCGCTGCCTGCATCTCTGTCGACAGCGCTGCCAGCAGCTGTTGTTGTTGTTGCTGCTTTGGTTCAACTTTGTGCTGCATACATACACGCACATAAACACGCATAGGTACGTGATGTAAATGTATGCTGTTAAAACTGAACATAAACATGTATTCTAATTTAATTTAATTAATTTTTTAATTAATTCATTCATTCATTTTTTTTAATAATTAAATTTAAAAAAAATTTTTTTTTTTTTTAATTTTTCCTTTTTGTGGAGAGTACAGGCTATTTTACTGTCGGGCTTGCTCGACTGTAGCGTTCTATTTTGTTTTATACTAAAATGTACATTTTGAAGCCCCCGGGTTACTATTGTTGGGGATGCTGAAGAGGGCTGATGAGATTGCACTAATATGTATACGTCTATACTACGGTACATTGAGTACATTTGTAAAAATGTGTAAGAAACATGATTTTATTAGTTCCAAGCAATATGACCGCAACGGAAATAATTGGCAACATAAAGGAAATTTGTTGCCTAAAAAAGGCTTCAAGGAAAATGTCGATCAACTAAGAATATACATATTTGGAGAAGGTTAATCGGGATATTTAGAGGACGTAACACAAAATTTACGTATTACAAAATTTTCATAAGATTTTGGTAAGCTCGATAATAGTATAATCACAACAACTTCGTCACTTAGCCAAATTCCGATTTCATTTAATTCATCTTTTACGCTCGAAAACTTATTTTAATACTGCACGACGTGTGTCATGTCTGAGCAGGGACGTCGGTTGGCTAGATTATTTATGCTCTCTGTTAAACAAAGATCTAATAAACTTTTTACAATGATACTTTTCCAGCTGGCCTTTTTGATTCAAATATTTCTTTTAGCCAGTCCCATGCCTGCGCCGACGTTTTACAATGCTTTATATACAGAGGTGCCACAGAAATCTCTGAAGGTTTGGGCTACAGTTGTTTTTGAAATCTTCAAGAAAATCCGTCGGTGCCACAGAACTTCGAAAGATTTCATATTTTCAAACTTCCCCTCCAAGCCAACTGCCCGCTACACCTGACTGTCGACGCTTACATTTAACTGAATAATTCTGTATAAATCCTGTAAAGCAGTCAGCTGCCAGCAACAGCTGACCGTCGAAGATTACATTTGACTGACTAATTGTGTTTAAATTCTGTAACGTACCATATTGAATAAAAAACAAATACAAAACAGTGAGTAAAACCTTCACCTTTTCTTTGAACAGACCTTGCATATGTTGCTTTACAATTTGAAATATTTCAACAGTTTTTGCCCACATAATTTTAACAAAATTCAATAGATAGATATTGGTATCCCATGAAAATGATGTAAAGGAGATAATTATATGTAAACTAACATGCCCGTCCTTGCTGGGATAAGCATTTGAAGTCATTGAATGAAAATTCGTTGTTTTAAGCTCCTTTTTATGCTCGTTGGGCGCACGGCATAGCAAAGTACACGTTTTTCCTCTTTCCTGGCCTACACAAGATATTCATTTTATGTCGTCCATATCTGCATATCTGCTTATATTCAGGTATATACTATATACATGTATTTTTATTAAACTTCTCAACACTTCATTCAATTTAACAGCAAGCCACAAATACACTGTGCCCCGAGCACATCATCAAGCGTATTTATTTTGGAAACGCCAGCAACGAATCAACAGCAACAGCAGCAACAACATTAAGCAATAGCAACAAAAGGCCTACACATAAAGATAAACTTAGACACACTTATCGCTTGCTCGCCTCGTCAAAAGCAGCAAACGGAGAGGGGATTGGCCTCAGAGAGAGGGTGGCAGTGGGGTAGAGGAAAAGAAAAAGATAGAGAGAGAGAGAGACAGTGGGATAGGTAGAGGCCGAAAGAAAAATAGTAGAGATATTTCAGCAAATATCGACGACACGAACACATTTTGGTACACAGGCACAGGACAAGGGACGAGGAACGAGGATTGTGGCTCACGAATCCAGCACGTGCGTGGACAGAAATTGACCAAAAAAAGGACACAGGAAGCAGCATATAATGTTTGGCACGGCGTCAGGAAACGTTGACAGCTTAACTTACATAATTAATGTGACAATATAGCAAAATGTATATGCGCCGGCATGTGCGTGTGGACATAAATATACTATATGTGCAATCGGACAGATAAACATGTTGGCCACACAATAACACACAGACGCACTCACAATAACAGATGCATGTTTGTTGGTCAGCAGCTGAGTGACATTAATTACAAACCTAAAACGACCGCACAACTAAAATGCCTGAAACTTTTCCGGGACTAGCTGCTGATCCTGGTGATGGTGCTAGCCATTGAATTGAGTTGCTGGTGCTGGTGCTTGTGCTGGTGCTTGTGTTCCCTACTAGGCGGATACGTGATATTTTGCGATATGTTTGCTGATACTTTTTCAAGTGTGGGGCACTTAACGCAAAACAAACATTAAAAGTTTTTTATTGTTGGTGCGCCCATAAAACCAAAGTCGAACTTTGCGAGAGATGCTAGCTAGGGTCATACTGCATCGCTGGCCCCTTTCATGAGCGCCTGCGATGACTAACTTGTCGAGCAGACAACAAAAAGCATTAAATTACTTTATAATCCGTTTATAGCTTTTGCCGGAAGTGCGCCAGTCAAACAGACGCTCACAGACAGTCACGGCCCCATCCATAGCCGCACTAACATAGACATGACCGGCTTTCAACATTTTGCCAGTTCATGTCCCTGGACCTGGGGCTTCAGTTTGGAGAAGGGAAGCGGGAGACACCCTAGGGTGCATAGCTCAACAGCATAATCAAATCAAAGATTACGTTGAAACATTGAAATTACGTACAGAGTAGACAGCCCGCACGGACGCACATACAACTATCTCATATATATATGTATGTATATAAATGTATATGTACATATACAGTCGTACATATGTACGTAAGTAAGTTTCACCAACAAACACACTCATTGCTCGTGTTGATGAAAATTGTGGCTGTTGGTCAGAGTGCGCGCTCATCACTTAGCTAGTTGGTTATCTGTTTGCCAAACCCACAAAGCCATAAATTGCTGTTGCCCTCACAAACTTGTAGCAGCAGGGCGAAAAGATGTGTTGCATACCATGCGGCGCCAAACAATTACAAACATAAAGCCAAAATGAGCGCTACAACTTTTTCAAAACGTAACGAGAGAGAAAAAGAATAACAAGCGTACGCGTTCATTCACAAGCGACCAGCCGCCTGCTTTTGGAACTGACTGTACGCGCATGCGCTCCGCATCGAGGGAGAAAATCTCGCATTCTGGCAACTCCAAAGCTATGCACTGCCAGCGCGCTTCTTGTCGTACCACAATCAGTTGCTTGTTTCGGTTGTGTCGAAACAGATGCGAGTGTGCGGCTACTTTACGTTTCTGGTTTCTGTCGTACTTTCACGCTGCGTGTGTGAGTGTGCGTGATTGCCGTGAGTGTGCGTGCGTTATGTTGACCAAGGCGCGCGTCTAGCAATCAGACTGAGAGTGTGTGTGCGCCTGAGTGTGTAAGTAACAGTCGAGAACGCGTGATAGGTTTAAAGTTGAACCAACCATGGTAGCGACATTCAAATTAAATAAAAAGTATACATACTTTAATTTAATGTACTGAAGCGTAAAATAAGAAGGTCAAATAAGTATATACAAACAGTTACAGGAGAAGCAATAACAACAGCAGTAGCAGTTATATATAAATGGAAGGCATTGAGCGCTTGGCTAGACATGCGGCCATCTTCTAGACAGCAGCAACCAGAATGGCAAACAAACCACCTGCAAAGCGATGCCATTTTCACAAACACACCGCAAATAAATATTGTGCAGCAAATACAAGCAAAATAAATTCGATACGAAGCATTGATACGCTAACCATTGAAAGGGCAAATAAATAAATATAAAAGTTAAGACAGTAACCAAAGGACTAAATTTCAATTCAAATTATACGTTATGTGGAAAATGTGAAATGAGTGATGTTCAAAAGCTGTAGAATACTTTAATTTAAAGTATACTGAGTGTTTCTTTTACATATTTTTACTATATTTTTCAAGACACATTTCTTTAATATATTTCTGTAACCACATTACAACACACCAAATGAATATAGAATAATTTCGAAATGTTTTTTGGCCATTACATCTCGCAAGTAGTTCGTTTGTTCAAACAATATCGCTTTGGATAATGTGACTCCAAGAACTATTATTAATATAATTTGAAATCAAATCTATTTTTCTTATTTATTAAGGCTTTCCTAGGCAGGGGGAACAGGTAACAAAAAAGGAGAGAGACTAATAAATAGTTAAAAGTAAAACGGACGATGCAATACAGTTTTGATGCGTACATAGCCATATGACATAACCACATATAGTATGTGCAACTTTAATATCAGAACCTTAATATATATTTTAATTTTAGCTGACTCAACAAAAGACAACGCCACCTTTGGCGCTGAGTGTAATAAAAGTCGAATGTATAGACTCTGAATAAACGCATCCCTGTAGTAACTTCCCTCAACTTCCGGTAATGATTAGCATGGATGCCACGTAAAGTGCGAAAGCTGACATGTGTGCGTGATAGTGTATGTATGTAAGCAAATAAGGATCAACAAGCGTGCCGCATAGCAAAACAAAACAGAACAGAAAATTGCAAAATAAACAACGCGCTACAAAGTAGGCAACAACTTTGTTGCTCTTCGCCCGACCATGGAAATGGATGTCAATCGTCAGGCTCAGCGCAATGGCGCTGATTTAATGACCATATCAGGGCGCTGCTATGCCAACAACAATGCGACAACAACAACACCATCAGGAGCAGATCTAAGCGTAGCTACAGCAGTGACGTCATCGACATCTTCGGCACCGCCCAACGGCTGCTGCGGCATCCTAAGTCGATTATTTTGCATTACCCTGCGACGTTGCAGCCACAAGCCAACGCATGTGGCGGGCAGTGAATTCAACAATACTCTTATTGAACAGCCTCCTACCTATGCGGTTTGCTTGGAGACAAACAGTAAGCTACAGCAGCAGCAGCAACGCACGACGCCCCTATCACAGCAACGGCGGCGACGCACGCCTCAGGAAATCTATTTCGAGAGTCGCGGCAAATCCTGCAAGAAGCTATTGAAATTCAATGGTAATTCCAATAAGGTGAGTGGAGTGTACAGTGCACAAGCACACGTGCATACATACGTACGTATGTGTATATGCATCCTTAGGGCTTCAACGCGTGCAATACACTTGGAGAAAAATCTCGCAAAGATTGATTATATCCACAATATTTCTTTGTATTTGGTAATAAGGAAAGATATAATTTAGCAGTCCCAACTCTTAAATACCCTGTACCCCCAACTTAAAAAAAAATTGAATATTTTTTAAATTATTTTATTGAGAGACACATTTTTATGTACAGTTTCAATAGCATACAATTTCATGTGGATTGTGTCTATGCGCGCATGTGTGTGTATGTGTGTGCAGTACAGAGAAGATCCAAAGCAGCAACAACAACAAATTGGTTTATCACTTTTTTAAAAATTGTCCTATCTTGATGAAATTTAACATGAGCCCATAAAGGCTGCAACTGTATGTAGTTGTCGAATTTGAGTACAAATTCCACGAGTAACGGGAGCTATGGAAAATCAATTATAGTGGAGGAGAAAAAAAGTCGAACTCGTCCTTTCTCGGTCCTAGGAGAATCTAGATACTAAGTTTGGTCACTCTAGCTTTTCTACTTTCCTAGTGTTCCTGCGGAAAGCCGGACAGACACACGGACATGGCTATATCGACTCAAGAATCTATATGTACTTTTGTATGTTACATACATTTGCACTAAACCAGTAAACTAGTATACCCTTGTACAATTCATGTACAGGGTTAAAAAATCTCAACAAAGTCGTTAATTTTTTGACAGAAATTCCGTCCTTAATGACGTCTGACATCAAGTCCGCTTACGACTGTCAGATCACTCGATGTCGACAAGAGCACGCACTTTTCGAAAACTCGCTCGACTGCATTTTCTGGTTATTGTCTTTTCCGATTACTTTTAAAATTTTTAAGGGAAGACTATCGACAAAATTTCTGATGAAATCCCGATCCTGCCACCTTGTCTCTACCATGGCATTTATTCAGACTGCTTGACTGGCAAAATCCAGGACACCTGAGAGTTCTGAGGTTCGCTCTTACAGTAGAATTAATGCAAAGATTAGAAGACTTTAGTTTAATTTAAATTTTCATAGGTCATTCAATTCTAAACTAAAAGCGGGCCAATTTTGATGAGTTATGGCCGAAATGCCACAAGTTTCTTAATGATAAGAAATCGCTGCAAGAACATTTAGCATCAATATTTAAATCGCCTTTTTTGATTGCAAATTACAATACAAACTTAAAGTTATATTTCTGTATGTGGAATGAAAATTTGCAAGAGAAATATACTGTATACATGACCTGTGACCTAATAAAGAATCTACAATTTTTCAGATTTGAATCATGTATAATCATTTTCTGAACAGTAAAGGGTCTTATTGGCAGTATGATATATTCAGACATATGTAAACAGAGTAAATAGCTTTTTCTATTAGATTTTCAAAATGGTTGACTGTAATCTACTTGTATTAAGATAAAATAGTTTTTTTTTTTTTTAAGTGAACGTTTGTGAATTTTTGTGATTCTGTGCGCTGGCTTTTGTTACAACATTTTGCAAATTTGTAGTCATAGTTTGTTTTTGTTGCATTTGCAATCGACATGCTTTGTGTGCAGAGTGCGGCATTGAGTGCTCGCCTAGGTGTGCTTTCTGTATGCCACACACACACACACACACACACACAAAGAGTGGCACACATACTTTGCATATAAATCATTTTCCATTGTGTGTGAAGCTCGTCGGCAATGCGCTTATGAAATATTTCGTTTGTTTAATGTTTGCAGCAGTTTAAGGCACCTGACCTCACAAGCGAACACACACACACAAGCCCCACACATTGCTCCCCCAATCGATACAGCCAGCAATCCATACCTTTCGCTCTTCCCCCTCCACATATATAGCGCACTAATTAAAAAAGAAAAAAGAACAGACGACCCAATCAAACAGGTCGATGCACAACAATGCGCTGCCCAAAAGCGCTCACGAACACATGAACAGCCATTCATTTTCACACACAAATACGAGTTCCCATACAATAGCCACTAGCTGCTCAAAACAATGCATCCGGCCTGAGCCCATCCAACTGACCAGCAGGCAGGCAGCTCAGCTCGTCGCAGGCACTGAAGCGCAAGCAACAGGATGAATTTGTTAAACAACACGAAGGATCTCCTTCTCCTTTTTATCATCATCTACTGCCTCGGTTCTTGCCGGCAGTTCGAGTACCAGGCAGCTGTGGTGCTGCGGCAATGACTCTGACTATGGCTGTGGCCATGGCTTCGACTCTGCTTGCATGTGAAAAGTGAAAAATGAAAAACTCATTCGCCCTATCAAGTGACATCATCAATTTCAGTCTATTTTGCACAGGCAGCCAGCTTACTGGCCAGCGACTTGCACTAACAACAGCAGCAACAACAACAAAAAGCTATGGAATGCATTAACATGCCACTTGAAGCGTTTTAACTTTGACCTACAGTTTGACACTGAATTTAACTATAAAGAAGAGTAGGAAGCCAAAGTCGTGAAAGCAGTAGATATACTATTATTATACATGTATGTTACTACTTTTGTTTCTTATGTAGATTCGTAAACAGCCTATACCAGAGCTCACTAAACTTTTACTTTAACTTCAAATAGCACATAAACAATTTTTTCGTAGCGCCCATTTCTGGGAAGTCTTATGCTATAAAATCTGTATTCGGATGGTCAAATGTATATAGCCCCTCTCTGAAATACCAAGAACTTTTCAATCAAACATCTAGGGACACCAAACTTGTTTAAATCATGCATATAATTAGTTTATTAAAAATCCTAAGCAGTCTCATTGCACAGCTCCTGTATTACTCTTAGTAGCATGCATCTTTATACTCTTTACATGAATATCTGAGAGACTATAGGACCTGGAGTCACCAATTTTAGTTCAAGATGCAATATGCAAGATGTAAATATGCAGAAAATTGTATTTTGGAATTTCCCTCTCTCCTCTCTCTCCCCCAATATTAGCAATTTTCCGTAACTTATATAATTCTTAGAATTTTTGACTCAAATTTGGCATATACCTTCAGTCAGTGATTATAAGTCCGTAAGTTAAATTGTCATTATTATCATTGTACCGATTTAACAGAAAGTTATAGCCATAATTATTTGCCCAAGCACTGCACGCAACTGTTGTTTTTGTTGCTGCTGTGCACAGGCACACGAGACTTACACGGACACACATACATTTGTAAGACATTTTTTATTTTTATTTTTATTTAGAATATCAACAATAATTCTGTCGATTATATAATATAACTTAATATAACAATTTAAAGTAAACTTAAAAGATAAGAAAGCCTAATACAAAGCTGTATAATAACGTCTATTAATGCCTCCGACACGTTGGGGGAATTTTATTTGCAAGTTGGCCAGCTGTGCCCCGATTCACAGTCATATGTGGTCAGAGACATTAAAAACTATACATACGCATAGACACGCAAAATGTACAGAGAATTTCAAAGTCGGGACACTCGAAACTGGTTCAATGAATTATGCAGCTGTCATAGAAGCGATAGGTGCAAAAGTTAGGGCAAGCATCAAAATTTTTCAAAGCCGGGTTACTTTGACTTTATTATAGCGAAGCCGGTTGAGACCAATTTTTATAGCCTGTACCCAAAGGGTGAAAGGCTATACTATATTTTTGATCAGGGTGACAAGCGGAGTTGATATAGCCATTTCCGTCTGTCCGTCCGTCTGTCCGTCCGAGCGCAAGGATCTTAGGAAGTACAAAGGCTAGAATAACCAAACTTGGTATCGATGTTCCCCCCCCCCACGCCCCCGCAATTCGTGTTTTTTATAACTTCTAATTCTTGGAATTTTGAAATCAAATTTGGTAGTTACATCCTGTTAGTGCTTATGTGTCCGTGTGCCAAGTTTCATTATGATGGGTTAACTCTGAAGAAAGTTATAGCATAAATAAAATCGCTGCCCATGCGCTGCCTGCAGCTCTGCCCGCAGCTGTTGATGTTGTTGCTGCTTTGGTTCAACTTTGTGCTGCATACATACTTGCATATAAACACGCATAGGCAGTAAATGTAAAACTGTACATAAACATGTCTTCTGTGTATGTATTAAATAAATGTTCTTTATTGATTTAATTAATTATTATTATTATACTTTAATTTCTTTTAATATATATATTTTTTTAATTTTCTTTTTTTGTGGAGAGTACAGACTATTTTACTGTCGGGCTTGCTCGACTGTAGCGTTCTATCTTGTTTGTTTTTAACTAAGAAGTTATCTATACCACCCTTTAAATACATTTTATTCCAATCATTATTCACTGCAATATACGAAGATTCGAACTTTATACTTTTTAGGAGCTAGAATTCACAGATCCATTTCAACTTTAAAATAATATTTAGATTTAGATCTGCGTTTATTTAAAGTTGCTGACAGTCCGCGAATTTCGAAAAAAATTCACGTTTTAGATTGTCTTATGCGTCGACGCAGTTTTATTGCCATTGCCTTCAACCAAATGTTCACATTCCAACCCACACTTGGCCGAATTCACCTTTATCCTGGGGTAGTTTAACAATAAAAGCACACCCTATGATTTTACAACGTGGCCGTAAAAAAGCAAACAAAATTGTTTTGTTTTATTCAATGGGGTAAGAGTTGTGGTAAGTGGTCCCACTTTCAACCACCGAGCAACAACCCTTATTTGATTATTAGCTAATATTGTAACATAAGTAAAATCTTCTATATGCCATCATTTGCATTTGAAGTAACGGTGGAACTGTTATTCATTAACGAAAAAAAGAAATACAAGTATCGACTCGTCGACGCTTATAAGATAAAGGCCGCTCTAACTTTTTTAGAGCATGTACTTATACGTAATACAAATATACCATGCAAGTTTGTTGACACAGCTGAAGTTTTATATAGTTCTCTGCCAACTTGGCGTCAAGTTGTCTTTTATGGTGTAAGTGAGAACTAAGAAACGGTTTTGGAAAATTCGAACTTCCAAGAGGGG